TGGAGGCAGTCACTCCACTATCCCCAGAGATTTGGAAGACAGACCTGGCCAACTGACTGGAAGAGAGCCATATTTTTACCCATTCCAAAAAAAAAGTGATCCTATGAACAATATCATTAATATCACAAGCAAGTAAACTTTTACTGAAGATAATTCAAAAATTGTTGCAGCAGTGTACTGACAGAACTTCCAGAAATGCATGGAATGAGGGATATTATTGCTGATGTCAGATGGATCTTGGCTGAAGCAAAGAATACTAGAAAGATGTTTACTTCTGTTTTATTGACTGTGCAAAAGCATTTGGTTGTAAGGATCATAACAAATTATGGATAACATTGGGAAGAATAGGAATTCCAGAATACTTGATTGCGCTCATCAGGAACCTGTACATAGACCAGAAAGTTGTTGTTCCAACAGAACAAGGGACACTGCATGGTTTTAAATCAGGAAGGAGTGTGTCAGGGTTGTATCCTTTCACCATACTTATTCAATCTGTGTGCTGAGCAGCTAATCCTAGGGACTGGACTATATGAAGAAGAACATGGCATCAGGATTGGAGGAAGATTCATTAACAGTCTAAGATATGCATATGATACAACTTTGTTTGCTGAAAGTGAGGATGACTTGAAGCACTTACTGATGAAGATTAAAGACTACAGTTTACAGTATGGATTGCACCTCAGTATAAAGAAAACAAAATCCTCACAATTGGACCAAGAAGCAGCATCACAATAAATGGACAATAGATTGAAGTTGTCAAAGACTTCATATTACTTGGTTCAACAATCAACACCAATGGAAGCATCAGTCAGGACATCAGATGTCGTATTGCATTGGGCAAATCTACTGCAAAAGACCTCTTTCAAGTGCTGAGGAGCAAAGATATCTCCTTGAAGACTAAGGTGCAGCTGACCAAAGCCATGGCATTTTCAATTCCCTCATATGCATGTAAGAGCTGGACAGTGAATAAGGAAGACTGAAGAAGAGTTGATGCTTTTGAGTTGTGGTGTTGGCAAAGAATACTGAGAGTACCATGGACTACCAAAAGAACTAACAAATCCATCCTGGAGGAAGTGTAGCCAGAATGCTCCTTGGAAGTGAGAATGGCCAGACTTGGTCTCACCTACTTTAGTTATGTTGTCAGAAGAGGCCATTCCCTGGAGAAGGATATCATGCATGGTAAAGTGGAGGGTTGATGAAAAAGGGAAGGACCTCAATGAGATGGATTGACACAATGGCTGCAATGATGGGCTCAGGTATAGCAAGGATGGTGAGGCTGGTGTAGGACTAGGCAGTGTTTTGTTCTGTTTTGCGTGGAGTTGCTATGAGTCAGGACTCGATGGAACTTTACAATACCAACAACCATTGAGTCAATTCTGATTCACAGCAACCCAATAGTACAGATTAGAACTACCCCTATAGGATTTTCAAGGCTGCAAATCATTACTGAAACATACTGCTTTATCTTTCTCCCATAGAGCACTGGTGGGTTTG